GGTAGGGGTGGAGGTGACCTGCCAATGGCCCTTTTCCATGCGCGACTCCATGGGCCCCTGACTATGCTGGACGAATGTCTGGACTGGAAATGAGGGCGCCCAGGGCTCCCCAAGAGCACATAGCACCCACCCTGAGGGAACTTGATTGCGGCGGCCTCCTGCTGCCCCCGACGCCACGCGGCTACGGCCACCTGTGCCTGCCCCCCCACCCCACAGCTGTCAGCAGGCATTGCCCTACCCCACGCCTGCTGGCCACCACTCTGGGGTTCTCGTGGCTCCTCCAGTGTCCCACAATTCCCCCTGGGAGTGTACGAGGGACCTCAGAGCCTGGGGAAGACCCCCGGGATGCGTGGATGGCCCATCTACCAGGAAAGGCAAAGACAGCTCCCCATTCTTGATCCAAATGGGTGGGGGAGAGACCCCCCACGCTTTGGGCGGCCCCTAAGGGGTAGAGGTGTAGGTGTTTTTACAAGGCCCAGCAGGGGGAAGGTCATGGCCCCGGGGCAGGTCAGGGGCCACAGGCTGTTGACACAGCCAGGTCCCTGAGGCCTCCTGGGGTGGGGAGGGGAAGGGGTGTAGGAGTGTGGGGACTGGCGGCTACTTTTCCATTAACCCCTCAGGCCCTTAGATCTCCCCTTCTCTCCACCCCTCACCCCCGCCCAGAAGACAGAAAACCGCCTGGGCCAGTACGGAGAATGCGGGCACAAACTGCAGGGTCAGCTGGTAGGGTGGGGGCAGGACACCCCCCCCCACAGCCGCGAGGTGGGGGGTCGCCGGGAAAGCTGCAGCAGGGCAGTGACCCGCCGGCCGAGGGTCAAAGTCACACGTGTGGGCAGCGTGGGAAGCTCTGCTAGGAGGGGTGCCCGACCCCTCGTTCTTCCCAGGGGGTGGGAGCCCGGGGATAGGGGGGAGAGAGGAAAAGGCCGGTGGGAGGGGGAGGGGCGCTCGGGGGTGACGCTGTCCTCGGAGGTGGGGGCTGCGCTTGGGGGGTGGTAGGGAGGAGCGAGTTCCAGACAGAGGGTGGCGGCAAGACCAAGCGCCTGGCGGCCCCCGACCCCCAAAGGCCGCGCCCATGGAACGAGAGGACCGGGGAGGGGCTGAGACCTCCAAACCCGCCCGACGGTGCGGGACCACTTGGCCGTCCAAGCCCCGCGCCGCATCCCGGGCTTTGGGGACAGAGGTGTCCGACCGGGGCGAGGGCAGCGACAGCCAGGGACCCCCGGCACCGCCCTGTCCGGGACAGGGGCCCGCCCGCCAGGCCCAGCTCGCCATCCGCAGCCCCGGTTCGCTCCGGGAACATCCCTTCGGCGCCCGCCGTCCCCTCGGGCCGTGGCCGCAGGTGCTCACCGTCCTCCTGGAGCGCTTGGTCCGGGCGCGGCGGCCGCTGGTC